GAGAGAAAGCCGCCCTCGAGTTCTGCCCAATGCCAGACAGTCCAGTTTCTCCCTGTATGAGTCTGGGTCCCCAGAGACTAGCCCAGAACTGGAGTTCAGAGCAGTCGGGAGCTTGAGACTCCCTCCCGATTGAAAAAGACAACTGTGTCCTCAGTTGCCAGCCCTTTTATGCGTGCGCCTCCATACCTCTGTACTTTTACTTCCGCACCTTCTCTGAATCTCAGTGTGCTTTTCTCTTTCCTTCTAGTTATAGAATTTCCACTCAGTCAGCCTTCCTGTGGTTCTGGATGATGTCCGTTTTGTCTTTTAGTTGTGTTTTTGAAGTGGTTGTGCGAGGCAGCAATTTCTGGTGTTTACCTATGCCAACATCTTGGTTTCTCCTGGATCTATCCTCTTTAATTTCTGATTTTGCTTATTTGGGTCCTCTCTCTTTGCTTCTTGGTGAGCCTGGCTAGAGGTTCATCAGTCTTGTTTATCCTTTCAAAAGAACCAGCTCTTGGTTTTGTTGATCTTTTGTATTTTTTTTTGTTTGTTTCTATGTTATTTATTTCCACTCTGATCTTAATTTCCTTCCTTCTGCTTATGCTGGGCTTTTCTTGTTGCTCTCTTTCTAACTCTTTGAGTTGTAGGGTTAGATAATTTATTAAAAGTTTTTCTTGTTTTTTGAGGTAGACATGTAGAGCTATGAACTTCCCTCTCAAGACTGCTTTCACTGTGTCCCATAGATTTTGCATTGTTGTGTTTTCATTGTCGTTTGTTGCCATGATGCTTTTTATTCATACCCACATGCTCCAGGGAAATGCAGTGGAGTCATCTAGATTCCCCTGCCCTGCCTCTTTTCACCTTTATATCTTTAGGTCATTTACTGTGCCCTTTCCCTCTTCTAATAGTTGGATTGATTAGTTCAGTCTACTTCTGTCTACCTGATTAATGTTTCTCATCCATTGCCCTGAAATAGCTACATGGAATAACGTTCCTTGCATATTTCTGTCCCACTTCCCCTTTGCTCATCAGTGTCCAGCTTTTTGCCTTCCTCCTGGTCTTTCATTATTATCAACATCATCATTGTTGTTACTATTTGTAGAGTGGAGAGAATCTTATCATAATTAATAGGTGCCAAAATATTAAATATTAGCACACTCTGGGAAGCATGTGTACTATACTATTTTGTAATAATTTTGATGAAAGCCATTTGGGTAGATAGACTGCTTTAATAAAACAGTCACTTTAAAATATTTTTTCTTTCACAGTGTTTATGAGTAAGATTTTGGTGCTAGCTTGCTTTTCAGGAACTGGCATATTTATATAGTTAAATTCTCACTATATTATTCTTTCCTTTAGAATTTGACTTAGTATAAATTAGTTCGACTAGCTTAACCAAGTTCTTATTTGCAATCTAATTTTTTTGTAAAGTTGGCAGTGAGATTAAGATTATTTAATTCAGTTTTCAGTGATAAGATGTTATAGTTTAGAAGTGCGGTGTGTTCATTGATAATACTCTAACTTTTGAGCATTTTTGTTACATCAGTACTTAACAAAACAAACAAACAAACAAAAACTTCTGGGGCATCCTGTGAGATAGGAAGCCATAAACTAATCATATACATCTTACTGCTGCCTTTAGAGGCAGCCATTATCCAATACAGCAACATAAGGTTGTTAGGTTTAAACAGCATGGGTTAAGCATGTTGGCCTTGCTTAGTAGAGGCTCCTTCCTTTTTCTGTGACTGAAATAACAATCTGTGTCCAAAATAGAGAAGAGAATAATTTTTATAAAAATTGCTTTCTCTACAAACTTTGTAAGTTTAAGTGCAGATAGTGGGGCACCAGTTCCTGAACAATTGCTAGAGTACTGGTAACAAAAAAAACAAACAAAACAAAAGAGGGAATAGTCATCTTTAAACTTTGAATTCAACTAGTAATTATGTTTAAATTAGGATGCAGGCCTAGTTTTAGCTTGGCAATTGGGAAAAACAAGTCTTTAGGATTGTGATACACTGTACTCTTTTACAAAAAGTGTATTTAGCATTCTTTTTGGTTATAGAAGTAATGTTCAGTGTTTTAAAAATTAAAATGGCAGAAAAGACTGCCTTTCTTCTCTTCAAGCCAACTCCCTAGAACCAAGTGCCATTAAGTTTGTTTTTAATTACTGTTTTAACTTAAAAACAGACTTTTCTATTCTCATATTTATTATCGCTTAAACATCTTCGACTTTCACCTCTGAATGATGGGGAAATTAGCATGCTTATACTGTATTTTAAGCATCCAATCACCCACCCTATCCTAGGATTTCTTGTTACGTATTTTTAGTTTTAGTCTTTGGCTTCAAAGAAAATACTAAAAAGTTGTTTCTTGACATATTAGTAGTGTCTCTCTATCTTCACTCCCTTTTATCATAGGTGAGGAATTTAGGGTACCTGTCTTTAATTTGGTCTTTTCTTTCCTCTCTCAGCTCTCTTTTAAAATTAGTCATGCTATAATTTCATTTTTACTTTGTGTTTGTGTTTCTTTGCTTTTTATATAAAGCAGTTCTCTCTTTACATAATTATATATAGTCATTTTGAAATTTGAAAACCAAAAATTGTGATTCATTCATTCATTCTATAAATATTGATCCTTTAATACTGAAGTATCTCTGGGTTCTGAACTTGCTCCTCTGTTCTCACTACACAGATTCCCAGGAGATCTCCTTCGGTCTCACGATTTTAAATTTCATCTATATGCTGACTCCCAGTTCACATTTCTAGCCTGACTTCTCCTCCTCAAGCCTCCCATCTGCATATCCAACTGCTTCCTTGATATTTCTACTCAGATGTCTAATTGATATCTCAAAGTGTATATGTCCAAAAGGAGATCCTGATATTCATCCCTTTCTCTCTCCAACTCTTCCCACAAAGTACTCCATATCTATTAATGGCAATTTCTTTCTTCTATTTGTTCAGGGCCAAAACCCTTTAAGTTTCTGCTCTCCCACTCTTTTAAAATTCACACCTACATCTGGTTCATTGACAAATGTTTTCTGACTTATATTCAAGGTATTTAAAGAATTTGACACTATTCTCCACATCCCCTGCTACTATTCTGGTACAAGCTGCCATTGCTTGGATTATAGCAATAGCTATATAATTTTTGTGTCATCTGTTATTTTGGATTATTTTATTTATTCATATAGCTAACTGAGTTGACAGAATTAATTCAGTGCAACAAGTGTTTATTAAATGTCTACCATGAACTAGTGCTGGATAGTCAGATCATTAAACACTGTCTCTGTCCTTGAAGAGAATTGGATCATGAGAACAAATAATTACAATGCATTGTAATACATAGAGTGAGGAAGTGTATGTAAGATTCATAAGTTAAAAGTCAGCATGGCTTGGGCATATATTGGTTATATCGAAGAAACCAAATGATATCCCTTAAAGCCCAATTAAAAAGTATTTTCAGCCTGGCCAGTGTGGCTCAGTGGTTGAGCATTGACCCATGATCCAGGAGATCATGGTTCCATTCCCTGTCAGGGCACATACCAGGTTGCGGGCTTGATCTCCAGTAGGTGGCATGCAGGAGGCAGCTGGTCGATGATTCTCTCTCATCATTGATGTTCCTGTCTCTCCCTCTCCGCTCCTCTCTCTGAAATCAATAAAAATATATTTTAAAGAAATATATTTTCCCCAGCATTTATATGTCAGTACAGACTTTTATACTTGCAGAAAAAAAGAAGTGTTTTTGGAACTCCAAGAAATGACTAGAAGTCTACTGATTTGTTGAGTTTTGTTATGTTAGCTGTTTTAAGGAAGAATTATTAGAGAGGTTATTAGAGACTTCTGAATACATGTAGTTACTATAGGAGATCTGCTTGGAGTTTTTGTTAGTTTAAACGTACAAAAGAAAAAGAACTGTGGTGAAGATACTCTAAGACTTTCAAAATAAAAATAAGTACAAAAGTAATACAAGTTCATTATAAAAATTTAAAAATATAGAAACACACAGAATATTTTACGTTCTATCATTTGCTTTTTCCACCTCATGTGTCATGGTCTTCTTTACAGCTTAGTATGTCTAGAGCTATATCATTTTTTAAAATGTATGATATTTCATTTTATGTCTGTAATCTAGTTTAAGCAAACTCCGCTGATGGACATTGTTTCCAGTTTTTTCATCATATCTATTACTTTGTTGGATGTGTTTATTTATATATCTTTATGCATTTGTAGAAGTATATATGTGAAATAATCCCTAGCTTTGAAATTGTTGGGTGGAATCATTTGTATTTTAAGTTGTCCTTAAAATAAAAGTTATGATTTATATTCTTATCACAAAAATATATGAGAATACCTGTTTCCCTACATGCTCACCAATGTTGGATATTAGCACACTCTTTAGTTTTTGCTAGTGTAATAACGAAAAAACTAATATCTAATATTATTTCATTAATTAAAAGAAGATTTAAATATCTTTTCAAATTTTGAACAGTCTCATGTCTTTAACCCTGTTCTTGCTATTTCTCCTCACTTGGAATATGTTCTTCTAACATTTTTCTCTGAACCTTTACCATTTTTCAAGCTATGTCAAAATCTGTGGTTTTTTTTTTTTTTTTTCCATTATTGGATTTCTCAGTAACCTCACCTAAAATGATTTCCCCCTTCTAACATATTTAATGTTATTTAACATATTTAATTTTCCACTTGTCACATTTTTATTACTCCTAATACATATTATTTTCTTTTTCTAGAATTTCCAGATTCACGGGATGAATAAACCTTAGTGGAAAGAGAAGCATAAACCTATCTTCTTTCACTATGGAGGCAGGTTTGGCAGATGGAGAACCTGACCGAATTTCGGTGAGTGGTTCAAATATAGCATAATAAGGTACTATCATCTACAGCTATGAAGTGTTTGATTTAAGTTATGATTTTATTTTAAAAATGTATTTCAAACAAGCTTTAAAAAACAATACTTTAACTCCTCTGTTGATATGAAAGTTACAGATAGTTTAAATTCTTTTGGAGCACAACCTAGTCAGTTTTCTGATTTTTTTTGCCCCATCTCCTCCCTTTTTCCCTTTCTAGTGGTATAGTGTAAGATATACTGATGTCATAGTTTGTGTTTATGTTTTCCTCAAAACTTTCTGCCTTAGGGAAGTCAAGAGAATTATACTACATTGAGGAAATTAAATGCCTCCAAATCTCACATCATGTGAACTTATGAGCAGGCAGAGGGAGTAAAACAGTTAAAATAATTAAGAATTAAGAGTAGCTGCCACGTATATTCTTTCTATAAAAGTCTGAAGATTTAATAAACATTGCTGCCTTGTGATTGTGATTGAATTGTATTCTGAAATAAAATTAGTAGGAATAGTGGTTAAGTATACCTTACCAATAAGTAAAAAATAAAATCCACCAGGAGGGTATATTAAATGATGATTTGTCATTGTACAAAAAAAATGTTGTCCCATGATAATTTCATTTTCAATTCTCCTGCAGCATTTTGACAGATCCCATTAAATACTGATTTATACACTCTTTATTAGGAATGTTTCTATTACCTAAAGTAAGGGTGGTAATTATATAAACTGTCAGTTTGGGAGCTGATTTGTTAGGTGGAAGATTCTTTGACAAATTTGTATTGTTGGAATAATGTGAAGGTCAAATTGTCTATCTTTCACATTGCTATGGATTGAGAGTCACTAGTATATTGAGAGGCTTGTAAATTTTAACTTGGTGAATGTCCTTTGTTCAGGCTCAAATGTAGGACAGTCTAATGATTGACAGCAAAATGCAATTTTGCTTACCTGTATTAATTTGGTCCCAACCTTTCTTGAATTTCTACTTCAAACTTGTTTACTTTCTTAAGTGGTCAAAAAATAGTTAAACTTTAAAATGATGACTTGTTAATAGAGAATAAAATGGACATGGAAAAAGCTTGATTTGTGAAGGTAATTGTCATGATGCTTATAAATGGAAAACTGATGGTAAGTTATTTTATTTTCACTATAATTTCAGAAACAAAGTTAAAATTAAGGGTCCTGTCTTAAAATATGGTGTATACTTTTCCATAAGTAGCATCTTATTTAAAGCTAATGGTCTTTCATAAGTCATTTTAGTTGAAGTATTTTAAATCTTTTAGTGATAATAAAAATGCTAGAAATAGCAACAGTAGCTATTTTCTAAGTCTGTACTTTGTCAGACTATCCTCATAACAGCCGTTAAAGGTAGATATTTGTCTTTCCTCACTTTTGTAGGTAGGCAAATAGATCAGGGAAGTTTATTATCTCCCTAAGAACTCATAGCTTAAGCGGTGGAACTATCTGTCTCTGAATACTTTACTTTGCCACTAGGGTATTCACTACATATCTGTCTTTCTGAATGGAATTGCTTTAAATTTATTGTTACCTGTTAAAATATGTATCTAAGTAGGTAGTATTAAATTCTATAGCTGAATACCTGTAGTGTATTAATGAAGTTTTAACCATTTTTATGCTAAATTCTGTTGCTGTTGAGAGGTTGGAGCAAGTTATTTAAAAAGCAATGAGAGCAATTTTTTATATTTGTTCATTAAGTTTCTTCAGGGAATCGAACCAATGACCTCTTGGTTCATGGGTCGATGCTCAACCATTGAGCCATGCCGTGCAATATTTCTAGTTTTTAAAAATGTATTCATTATTCTAGTTGCCTATAGTTCAATTTTTGTTTTAGTGTTGTTAGTCTTAGGTGATAAATATTGAAAAATATGGATTGAATCTCTTTATATGTGGTACTAAATATACTTCAGAACACAATGTACATTTAATATGTCTTAAAACATTTTGTAAAAGTCCAGAATTTATATCACTTTAGAAATAAACCACTAAGAAATGCTTAAAGTATAGGAGTCAACTTTCTATTAATAAATTGAGGTAGACTAAACTGAAATATCCTTTTAGATTAAAAAAAATTGAATATGTTCCTTAACTTAAGGAAAGTCATTAAATGTTTGAATAGTTTATATATTATTTCTCTTACCAGAGGAAACTGCTTTATAAGCTATAGTAGAGGACAAAATTTTTTGTTGTATTAAAATTGATTATATAAATGATTTTTAAAAAATATGTATTTTTATTGATTTCAGAGAGGAAGGGAGAGGGAGAGATAGAAACATCAATGATGAGAGAGAATCATTGATCGGCTGCCTCCTGCATGCTCCCCCACTAGGGGTCAAGCCCGCAACCCTGGCATGTGCCCTGATGGGGAAATGAACCATGATCTCCTGGTTCATAAGTCCACACTCAACCACTGAGCCACTCCAGCTGGGCCTCCTATTCGTTTTTAATTTTTCCTTTCAATATATTGAGGAAAGGAAGTAGTCTGTCCTGTAGAGTTTCCCACAATCTGGATTTTTCCCATGGTGATTGTTTAATGTGTTCTTCAGTCAGTTATCTTTATTGCAAATTGGTCATTCAGATTAGACACTTGCTCAGATTCAGGTTCGCTTTTTTTTTTTTTTTACAATAATACTTCATTGATGGTGTGTGTATTATCATCAGGAGACATAATTAGTCTGTCTCTCTTCTTGTGATAATAGCAGCCATTGATGACCATTGCCTAGATCTGTTCATTCAAGAGGGATATAAATGAATATTATAACTGGCTTAGAAAAATGGGAGCTGGAGAGAATGACTGACTAGCCTCTACCTTAAAGCAAGCAAACCAACCAGCCTACATTAGGTTAGGTATTTTGTCTTTCCATCATTTTACATTTAACCTTCTAAAGGGAGACATTTAATAAAATGATAAAACAATTTGGTAGGGATGATTTATGCTATATTAACATCTGAAAGTTACAAGTTAGTAGTATTTAAATATTTGTAATGTTTAAACTAACCAAGTGGGAAAATATTGCTCAATATTTCCTATTGTATGAGTACTTAATTCTCTCTTTTATCTTCATTTTTTTCGACTTGTTAGAGGTATTCTTGTTCTTCTTAGAGGCTTGAGTAATGTAAAAAATATGATGGGACTCTTTAATACATTTGGGGAATTGGGTTGGAGAAAGAGTTAGTTTTTTAAAAAGTAAAAGAAATAACCATTGACACAGTACATCAGCAGAATTGCAAGCTAGAATTTTTTTCTGTTTCCATTATGCTTGGAGATGGTCTCAAATTCTGTTCCCAGGACTATGGAACTCCTTCAGACCCTTTCTTAGAATCCATGAGGCCCAAATTATTTTTGTAGTAATACAATGGTATTTGCTGTTAACTGCCTTTTTTCTCATTCTCTCATGAGTGTAGAGTGCACTTTTTCAGAGCTGTATGAGACATGATGATGTCATTGCTGTGCTGAATAATGGATGTGTGCTTGTGTATTCTTGTTTTCATATTTTCCTAGTTTAATTTTTTTTCTAGGCAGTGTTTTTTTCTTTATATAATAAACTTAATTTTTTAGAATAGTTTTAGTAAATTCTCACTTAACATCATTGATAGCTTCCATGACTTTAAGCAAAATGATGTATAACAAAACCAGTTTTACCATAGGCTAATTGATACAAACAAGAATTAAGTTCCTATGGCATCTCATCAACATTATTTCAAGACAAAGTTGCTATATACCTTGTCCCAGTTTTTCCTGTTACTACCTTATTAGCCTATATTTGATATAATTAATGACTCCATATTGAAATATTAACTGAAGTTCATACTTGACTCAGCTTGCCTTAGCTGTTACCTAATATTCTTTTTCTGTCCTAGGATCCCATCTAGGATAGCACATTATATTTAGTCAGCATGCTTCCTTAGGGCCCCTTAGCTGTGATAGTTTCTCGGGGTCTACTTGTTTTTGATGACCTTGATGGTGTTAAGAAATACTGATCAGAAAGGGAGTGGACTGACTATTCTTGGGGGGCGGGGAAGGGGTGTGGAGGATCCGGGAAGAGACTGGACAAAAATCGTGCACCTATGGATGAGGACAGTGGGTGGGGAGTGAGGGCGGAGGGTGGCGGCGGGGGAAGGAAAGGGCAGAGGGTGGGGTGGGAACTGGGTGGAGGGGAGCTATTGGGGGAAAAAAGAGGAACAACTGTAATAATCTGAACAATAAAGATTTAATTAAAAAAATAAATAGAAAAAGAAAGAAATACTGATCAGATATTTTTTTACAATGTTCCTCAGTTGGGATTTGTTCGATGTTTTTCTCATGATTAGACTGGGCTTATAGGTTTTTGGGAGGATACCACAAAGGTAAATACCATTTTATCACATTATTATCAAGAGTATACTATCAACATGACTTACCATCTTTGATGTTGACCTTGATAGTGAATAGATGAGTCAGTGAATTTCTCATATAGCAAATATAAATAGATATAATCCATATAAATAACATCTCTTTGGAGTCCTCAGTAATTTCTAGGAGTATAAAGGAATCTGGAAACACAAAAGTTTGAGAATTGCTTGTTTAAATCTTCAGCAACCAACACTTAGAAGAATAATTGTTAAGAAAAGAGAGACCCAGAAGGTGATGGCGGTGGAATGAGGGAGTGGTGACCAAGATAAAATTTGCCTATTTCATAACTGAACTCAGCATTAAGACATGATCTATACCTTCAAGGAATTTTGTTGTTGTTGCTGTTATTTTCTTTCTTCATGTTGACATTTAACAGATATCTGTTGAATGCTGACTTATTTTGTCAGATTCATATCATCTACAAATAATTTTTTTTTTAAAAAAAAATCCCTACACAGCTGAGTCTTTGGTATTGTGTATGCATGTTTGTGCCGCGCCAGCACAGCCAAGGGTGAACCTGAGTGGGGGCGGCTGAAAGGCTTAGAAAAGACAGACAAGAGAATGAAAGCCGGGTCTCGGTGGGACGC